TACCACTACTTATAGCTAGATAGCTGAAACTTTCAGCAATAAAAGATCTGGATCAGATGTATATGTGATAAAAATTTCAGCCTTCTACATCGAGTAAAACTATGAAAAATACGAATAAAAAGTTATCCTCAGTTATTATGGGACACCCTTTATAGGTCTGCAAGTATAGGTAATAATGTACTACCCATTGGTAGACCATGCTTCTGCGTATAAAATTTCCCATTAAACTCACAATAACTATTATTTAATGATAGTAATAATATTTGTTTTAGATCCGTTATTGTCAAATTTGACATACAGAACTTTTCTTAGTTCTCGATTTTATTAATTGCTATATCAATTGCTCTTGTAACAGGTATGTTGGTGGAAAGGTCTTGAACATCTAGGCTTATTAAATTATCATCTTTTTCTACTTTAACTTTAGGTATATCCTGAATGAATTTTGATGTATTACATATTGTATTTTTAATGGTACTTCTTAGTTCTTGAATAAACGCAAATGCAAATTTCGATATTGGTAATAATATCGTATTTCTAGTACATGTAATTAATCTCATCGGATAGTTTATTTTGTGGAATTTTGGCTGCCCTTTTATACTGGGAAGATTATCAATTGATGAGAATTCATGTTTCATATTTAAATTAATTCTATTATTTTTGTGAAACCTATTGGTGAGTTCTGTTATTTTGCTTTTTATCATATTTGCTGGATCCTTTACTTCTTTATATAATAAGCTATCATTTAAAATTTTTCTTCTATCGGATTTATATACTCATTTCTATCCATCACAACAATTTTTCCACCTTTGTCAGCTTGAACTATAATTATTTTCTCATTGTCCTTTAATTCTTTGATGGCTATTTTTTCTGCTTTGTTTATATTATTATCTTTCATTTTAGGACTTTTCTATTGTTTGACAAATGTTGTTATTTCTGAAATAGCTAGTTGTTTGGTAATTTTTGGTATTCTTGGTATCGTGCATAGTGAAGATTCAACATTCCATATTATATCAACTACATTAATTGTTTTTCGTGTTTGTGCAAATTTTAATCCTTTTGACAAGACTTGGAGCTGATATTGTGTTAATTTTACATTTGATTTATTTATTACATTAGTTATATCAATATTAAAATTTATTTTCTCTTGTTTTTCATTCCTTTTTGTTCAGTTCTCAGTGTTTTAATTTTATTGTTATGTTTCTGTTCAAGTTTTGTTTTAATATTTTTGTCATGTTTATTCATCCACTTTAAGTCATTAGTATGTTCTTTATTGGGATGTATTTCTTTCATGTATATATTTATGATTTTCTCTTGAGTAGCAATATCAATCATTAAGAATCTTTCTTGTTTATATCGCCAATTTAATACATTATTTCTCATTTTTGTCATAGAGTCTTTTAAAATTTTGTCATTTCTATGAATTTTTGTGATATTGTTTAAACGTATTCCTTTGGGGATTATCCCCTCTTTTTTACATTGTTTTAAAAATAAAATGTGATGATTTATTTTCATTAGTTTTTTCTATAGTTTTTCTAAGTTAAGTGCTATAGCATATACTCTCTTATTATAGAGGTTATTAAATTCATTACGAGTAATTAGGAAGGTCATTGTAAATGATTAATTTAAGAAACTTTGTCTCTTCCTTTTTTTCTGAAATTTTTTAATGTAATATGTTTTAATTCAAAATTGTTTAATTAATTTAAATAAGTTTAATTGAATTTATAATAATTTTATTATGATTTTAATTTTTAACTATATAAATATTAAAGTAAAAATACTAACAAAAAGTAAATTAATAGAATTATACAATTTCAAAATAAAAATAAAAATGAAAATTGTGACGTTTCGACAGACGAAGTTGTCTTCATCAGACTTTTAGGTGTATGACAATTTTCTTTTTCTTTCAGATGTTTAACATATGCTAGTGGGATGGAGGAAGAAATATAATCTATCTACCCTACCAGTATTACTGTCTTGCCGTCCCACTATCATATGTTAAACATCTGAAAGAAAAAAAAAATTGTCATACACCTAAAAGTCTGATGAAGACAACTTCGTCTGTCGAAACGTCACAATTTTCATTTTTATTTTTATTTTGAAATTGTATAATTCTATTAATTTACTTTTTGTTAGTATTTTTACTTTAATATTTATATAATTAAAAATTAAAATCATAATAAAATTATTATAAATTCAATTAAACTTATTTAAATTAATTAAACAATTTTAAATTAAAACATATTGCATCAAAAAATTTAATAAAAAAAAGCAGAGAAAAAATTTCTTAAATTAATCATTTACACTGACCTTCCTAATCACTCGTAATGAAAAATCTTTTCTCTTTCTTTCATAGAACGAAAGACACTGGGTCAATAAACAGCGAGTTAAAAGCGACAAACAATCAACTTTCAATTCGGTCTAGTTATCAACAATATAAAAATCACGTGTTTCGACTGTTCTTTTTAAAGTAACTGCGCAACTTCAGTGATTGGCATTTCAAATATGCATCGTTTTACTGACATAGATTCAAAATCTAAACGACTGACACCAGTCTATGGCTACTTAACGCATCAACTATTACCTCTACAGAAAGTTCTCGAACCAATCTTATCTCAGATCGATCAACTAGATCATTTTAGTAAAATAGCTAAAAACGAATGTCACTTTCCTTCTGAACATGGTCTTACTCGAGATGAATCAGCTGCTGTTTTTCTCTACACAATGGAATGGGGTGAAACTAGTTTATACCAAGTAATTAATCGTGCTCTTCGCGCCGAAGATCGATCATCATTAAAGCCATGGTTTGGCTATCTTAAATTATTTGATACAGCTGTACACAAGTTACCTACTGTTCGAAAAAATCTATGGCGTGGTGTTGCAACAGACGTAGCGAATAACTTTAAAGCGGGCGATGAATTCACCTGGTGGACCATTAGCTCATGTTCAACTTCCGTTACTATTATCGAAAAATTTCTTGGATCAAACTCAACTTTATTCTTAATTGAAGCCGTGAATGGAAAAGATATTTCAGGTTACACGAATTACCCAGGCGAGAATGAAGTTATTCTTTGTCCAGGCACTAGATTTCGTGTATTCGGTGATCCTCTTCATCGACCACCCATGCACATAGTCCATTTACAAGAAGTTACTGATGAAACCGAACACGAACTCGCAAAAACCTTTAATGCGATCGCAGTGTCATCTTCAAAAAATGAAATCATATCGACAGCAACAAATGTTCAGTCTTTACAGATTCAAACTCTTACTGATAAATCAGGGAATAGATATGAAACAATGGTTCATATATTATACACGCTGAGCTACTGTTGCATAGCTATTTGGTCTGAACAACACGTAATTACAGAATACTGATGAAGGGGAATTCAAGGACGGAAAAAAACACGGTAAGGGAAAAATGGACTATGCGAATGGCGACAAGTATACAGGCGTTTGGGTCGATGACGTAAGAACTGGTCAAGGTGCCTATATTTATGCTAACGGTTCTCGTTACAAGTTGTGATATTCACAAATCACTTGTGAGTCTGTTCTTCATTCGTTCATGTTCAGCTAACGTTCTTTTCAAGATATAAAAGAACAGATACTGGGACAGTGGAAAGATGGTAAGCGACATGGCAAGGGTACGTTCATTTGGGGTCCCGATACTCAGTGGGCAGGTTTGAAGTACATAGGTGATTATGTGAATGACCTAAGAACAGGGCAAGGTACTTACATTTGGTCTAATGGTGACCGTTACGAGTTGAGATGTTCACATATCACTCATGCGTCTGTTCTTCATCTTTTCATCATCAGTTAGTGTTCGTTTCAAGCAATAAAAGATTAGCTGCTGGGAGAATTTAAAGACAATAGCCGACACGGCAAGGGTAGATTTGTTTGGGCACCTGATGCTAACGGGGCTTGTAACAAGTACATAGGTGATTGGGTCGATGACACAAAAACAGGCCAAGGTGTCTATATTTATGCTAGCGGTTCTCGTTACGAGTTGTGATATTCATAAATCACTCATGAATCTCTTCTTCATCGCTTCATGTTTAGCTGACGCTGTTTTCAAGATATAAAAGAACAGATACTGGGACAGTGGAAAGATGACAAGCGGCATGGCAAGGGTACGTTCATTTGGGGTCCCGATACTCAGTGGGCAGGTTTGAAGTACATAGGTGATTATGTGAATGACCGAAGAACAGGGCAAGGTACTTACATTTGGTCTAATGGTGACCGTTACGAGTTGAGATGTTCACATATCACTCGTGCGTCTGTTCTTCATCTTTTCATCATCAGTTAGTGTTCGTTTCAAGCAATAAAAGATTAGCTGCTGGGAGAATTTAAAGACAATAGCCGACAC